GGGCGGCCCCGACGGCCTCGCCCGCCGCGCCGAGCGCGTGCCGCCGCCTCTCCTTCTCCCGCTTCTCCTTGGGTCTGCGCGGCTTGGCGCCGGCCGCGGAGGCGGAGGGCGCCAGCAGGAGATGGTGAGGCTGAGCGTGCAGCAGCGTAGGAGGGACCAGCAGTTTGCGCGGCAGCGGCTGAGACGAGGAAGCGGAGGCTGAGGAGGGGGCGGCCGAGCCAGCGGAGAAAGAGACGCTGCTCCGGGCAGAGGAAGACGAGGAGGGGGCAGCAGTCAGAGCGGCGAAGCTCCAAGCCGCGGGGCTGCCATAGCTCTGAGGCGAAGGGACCGCCGCCGGCGGCTGCAGCTGCCTGCTGTTCCCACCGCTGCCCCCTTCCCCGTTCACTCTCCGCGGTGCCTTCTTCTCCTCAGTCCGGACCTTTTTGGCGGACAGAGAACCCGGTGGGTCCCCGGAGAGAGACTGCAGCTTGCCGAAGGGTTCTTTTTCCGAGACGGTGGCTGCAGTCACAGCGGTACCATGCACTGGGATCGGCGGCTCCGCCATTTTGCGCTCCTGTTGTATTTACTCTCCTCCGCTCCCGGGCGCGGGGCAGGGGCGGGCCCTTTGTGAGGGGCGGGGCGGTTGGGGCGCCGGCCGGGCCTTCGATTGGACGAGCCACGCTGAGCGATAGCTCTGGGAACCAAAGGCTTGACTAGGAGCCTGAAGGGGCGGGATCGCCAAGCCGACCCGCTTTGGAGGTCAGCGCTCGGCGGGGTGCGGCGAGTGGTCGAGCGAGTAACGAGGGGAGGGTCTTCCAAAAGTCGCTGGCGGGAACTCAGTTCCTCTTGGGAGTCTGGGCAGTTCGCACCCAAGTTCCACTCGACCCCGGTCGATCTAGGTCTCAACGATGTTGTCTTACTCATTCCAGCCACTTTCTCTTCCTCTTCTCGGGGGGGGGGGAGGTGATGGGGGACCCCAACCCCCTGGGCCCCTCACTGCATCTGCGCCCTCTGGAAGCCGGATTTCCGGGATCCTCAACTTGGAGGAGAAAACTGTGCCTCGAATCCATTCCTTCCTTCTCTTAGGACTGATTGAAAGGAGGGGCTAAAAAAAAAAAAAAAATCACTTGGTGCGAAGCCAGGATACATTACTGCTGTTAAAGTCATCAACGCTTATGTTTTGAGGGAGTTGGTTCCTGCAAGCCTAGAATGTTCGGATTACTTCTGAGCTTGAAGGTAAGACTGTATTTAGAGAATTTAACTGTTGTAAAAGCTATAATTGTTGTAACTCGCCACGTTTGAGTTACAGCTGTAATGAGGGGAAACAAGTTAGTGGCATTTATGGGCTTTTTAAAAAACAAGCTTATTTGCAAATTTCTCTAATTAGTTTCCTGTCAAATGTTTTGTATGCTTTTTATTTTTAGTATAGAAAATAAAAAATTGAGAGGAGAGGGTTGCAGTAATCTGTTGTAATCATAGCAGTGAACAGGTTTTTTAAAATTACCTTAAAAATCTTAATAGCCTTATTAAAGGCTATTATAAAATTTATATACGATAATTGCATGTACTTAAACATGTACAAAAATTTGATCAGTGGCATGTGTATGTACCCATGGGATCATTACCACAGTCAAGACTGTAAAGTTGAGGGAACACAGTTTTAATATAACTCCAAAGTTTCTTTTGGAATCGGAAAACCCAGAAGGATGAATGTAAAAATAAACTTAGGCTGAATGAGTGGAATTCCAAAATCTCTGTAGATGTTCATTGAAATGAAAAATAAACAACCTAAATTTAAAAAAAAAAAGACCAACTAAAAAAAAAAAAACTTAGGCATGTCAGGAGATGACTAGTGTGAGGATATTTTATGAGCCCCAAAACTCTAAAAGTAACTTTACAAGATTACTCATTGCTGACAACTTCTAGAAATTGTTTTCCTAATTTTTTAATATTTTGGAGGCAAAGTATATTGTTGGTTTATAAGCTTATTTTTTAGTACCTAAAAAAAAGAAAAGAAAATACTTCCATTAATACATTATTGTGAAAACTTTGTAATTGGAAAATGCTGGCAGCAGATGCCTTTATGTAAGGTGGTTTTGAAGAAAGAATAAAACCACCCCAATGGAAATCATGTGTTGCTCTCTGTATTTATAATCCTAGTAAAGGTGCTTTACCTGTCATAAACTCAGAGGGGTGTTTTTGCATTAAAGATTTAATTACATGGTCGCTAAGGTCCATTCTATCATATTAAAGAAACTTTGCAGAATCACACTGAAATCATTACAAATTATTTTCTTAATTCTTGCCACTTCCATATAACCTTTTGTCTCTGTCAGAGACCTTAAACCATCAATCATTTAGTCACACATTTCTCAGCAGAAGTCTAGGTAATTTAAGTGTTATTCTCCCCCCCACCTTGTGACGTTATTACTCCTTTTCATTTGTACCCCTTCCTACATTGTTACCAAGCTCAGCCTTAAATTGCAGAACCTGGGCAAGAATGTGGCTGTGGAGGTTCACATAACCTCTATCTAAATATTTAAATTATACATAAAAATAGCAGACTGCTATATTAAATGTGTTCTACTTCCTTAAGAGATCCTACTTCCATAATGATCTGGGAAGCCACGTTTAAATTTAGAATTCTGAAAGCCCCTAGGATCATCCCTTTTTCTCCCCACCTCCTTCTTTCTACCTTCTTCATGTCCAGTACCAACAGGGGTCATGGATGAACCTATGAGGCCAAGCTTCTGTCCGCTGACCCTCTGATCCAGTCAATAGGGTTTTGAAGGCTGCAGTCTTTACAGAAGCAGTCTAATCTTTCTCTGGGTTCAGACTTCAAATGGCTTAACCATGCTCTCCTATAGCTTCTTCACTCACCGAGTGAGTGGAAGAAACTCATTGTCTTAGAGTCAGAACCTACCCGACCCTCCAGGAGGTTTTCGGAGCCGGTAAATCCCATGGGAGGAGATAACCCATATTTCTTCTGCGGAGCTTCTGGCAGATCAGACCACCAGAGAGGGACACTGCCTTTCGGTCAGCAGTGCAACTTCCTGTGGACTGGGCCACCCATGCTCTTCCCACAACAGTACCTCCTTTCAGATTGTTGTGTGATTCAGTAAGAAGCCAGTTGATTCTTACTCAGCACTTCTCCAGGACTGAGTAAAAATACTTCACAAGTTTCCTAGGCTGGAATCTTTATGAGAGAGATCACCAGGTCTTTTCTGCTGAGAAGTTGTTGATGGTGTTTTGTTATTAGATGCCATGGAGTTGAGTACTACACATAGCAACTCAGTGAACAACAGATCTGAATCCTGTCCTGTCCTGTGTTATCGTCATCATCTCTGACACACTTGAGCCCATGGCAGTAGTCAGGTGTCAGTCGATCCGGTTGAGGGGCTTACTCTCTTTCATTAACCCCCTTTTTTTCAAACCATGATGTACCCCTCCAAAAAAAGCCTCTCCTAACAACATGCCCAACGTATGTATTACAAATCTTAATCTTTACCCTCCCAGGAGCAATCTGGCTGTACTCTGTCCAAGACATACCTGTTTGTTCTTTTTGGCAGTCCATGGGATATTCAGTACTCTGCTCCAACACCACAGGTCAGAAGCATCAGTTCTTCTTCTGTGGTCCTTATTCGTGTCCAGCTCGCAGATGCATAGCAAGTGATTGAAAAGTCTGTGGCATGAGTCAGGTGGACCTTAGTCCTCAAGCTGACATTGCTCATCAATAGAAAGTTGAATTTCCTAATGCATTATGTCTCCTGATCTCCTGACTGCTGGTACCAAGTGTGTTGATTGTGGATCCAATTAAGATGAAATCACTAACAGTTTCAACCTTTTTTTCATCTGTCATAATACTGTCTATCATTCTAGGGGTAAGAATTTTTGTTTTCTTGATGTTAATATGCAACTCATATTGAAGCGGCAAGTACTTCAAAGGATTACTTTCCGCATGCAAGGTTGTGTTATCTGCATAATGTGGGTTGTTGGGAGTCTTCCTCCAATCCTGATGCCACATTCTTTAGAGTCCAGATACGCAAATGATTTGCTCAGCATACAGACTGAATAAATATGAAGAGAGGCTACAACCCTGATGCACACCTTTCCTGATTTTAAACCATGTGGTGTTCCAAATCAAGAGACAAATTGCATTGGGAAAGTCAGCTTTGAGGGACCTCTCAAGAGTACTGAAGAGCAACGACGTCAGGCTGGAGACTAAGGTGCGCCTCATCTGGGCTATAGTCTTCGCAATTGTGTGCTATGCGTCAGAGAGTTGGACAGTGAATAGGGATGATAGAGAATTGATCCCTTTGAGCTGTGGTGCTGGAGAAGAGTGTTGAATATACCATGGACTGCTCGGAGAACAAACAGGTTTGTCCTGGAGAAGGTGAAGGCAGAATGCTCCTTGAAGTCAAGGGTTCTGACATACTTTGGGCATGTTGCAAGGAGGGACTGGTCCTTGGAGAGGGACATCATATTTGGCAGAGTGGATGGGCAACGCAGGAGAGGAAGACCTTTGATGAGATGGATCGATTCTGTGACTGGAGTGGTGGGAATGAGTGTGTTTGAGATGGCTAGGTTGGCACAGAATATAACGGGGTTTAGAGCTCTTGTCCATAGGGTTGCTATGAGTTGCAAGCGACTCAATGGCACATAATAACAACAGTGTTCCCTTGTGCAGTTCAGACAATAGCCACTTGATCTAGGTATAGGTTTTGTGTGAGCACAGTTACAATCCACCATGTGGATTATAATGAGTTACGGCTGACATGGAGAAGAATGGAAATACCAGAATACTGAATTGTGCTCTTGCGGAACCGGAGCCTCCTTGAGGAGGGGCTGGTAGATTTGAACCATCAACCATTGGATTAATAGCTGACTAGATATCCATTAAGCTGCCACTGCCCTTCCTCTACAAATAGAAATGTGTGTGTTGTCAGATCTGTTGTTGTTAGTTGCCCTCCAGTGCACTCCCAACTCACAGTCACCTGTGAACAACAGAAGAAACAATGCCCAGTTCTAGTCTGTCTCCACAGTCCTCACATCCTCCCAGCCTTTGCTGTGTTTATGCCCATTGTTGCAGTCACTCTGCTAATCCATGTCTTTGAGAAAGCCTTTCTATTTCACTGGCCTTCTTTTTTACTAAGCAATAATTGGTCCTCCAGATAACCTGTTCAAAGTAAGCAAGACAGAGTCTCACCACTTTTGCTTCTAACAAGCATTCTGTGTACACGTCCTCCAAGACTGGTTTGTTTCTTTTTCTAGCAGTCTTATTGTAGTATGTTTAAAATTTTTGACCAACACAATTCAAATGTATCATTTCTTTGATTATCATTTTCATTATGCAACTTTCACATGAGACAAGTGAAAATAGTAACTTGAGTAAGGCATATCTTAGTCATCAAAGTGAAGAAAAGATTAATTACTCAGATCTAGCTAGAGAAAGACGAACCCCTAGATCTACCAAAAAATAGCCGGATCAGGTAGGCATAGCCCATAAACTCCGTGAACTCCTTGCCACAACAGGAAGGCTGGAATGGACAAAGACCCTTACCAGGT